AAAAAAAAAAAAAAAAAAAAAGAAAATTATCGCCTAACGAAACTACATTTATAAATCTCTAAACGATACCTCCATTGTTCCATTGTTTCAGGGTGTTGAAACCCCCTGGTGGCGGAAGCAGCGACATTTTCGGCGCAGCGCCCGAAGAGACTAGCCCCCGCCGCGTGAAGAACCACAACCAATCGCAGCTGGGCTCCGCTTTGTTCGGCGATACACCGAACAACAGCAACAGCAACGAAACGCCGCGCAACAAGCCCGGTAATGATTCATACAATCGCCTGTTTGGCCCTCCCGATGCCCCACCCACCACCCCAAACGCGAAAAATCACATGCGCAGCAATATCTCCCTCAGCGGGGAGTCGATGTCCTCGTCGGTGTCATCAGGCGCCGCAACGTCGCCCGCGAAGAGCACCGGAAGCTCGGACTCGATCGCGGGCGTTCTCAACGGATACGCGGCCAGCAATGGCAACAATATGACCAACGATGTCACAGGTAAGGGTGTAAATTCTCCTTCCTTTCAACGCCATCCAACAACCGCCCATTCCTCCCCTTCCCCATCTATGTATCACGAAAAAAAGGATATACTGCTACTATCTGGTCAGGTGAACTGGTGTACGGTGCGAGCGCGAGGGAACGCGGCTACGAGTCACACTACTAGAGTACTTCGCTAATTATACAGTGGCGATTTTCGATTTTCGCTCGGTAAAATTGATCATTTGTCCAAAATGAATTGAACGTTCGAACGTCGAGGCTTATTTCAACTCGAGACATTTATGGAACATTTTATTTTATCATTTTATTTTATTTACTTTAAACGAAACGTTTCTTAAAATATATATTATCTATTTTTGAGATTTTTCATCTTAGAATCTTGGGGTTGATTGTGATAGGATTGAATCTGTAATTTGAAACGATTGAAATAAGTTAAGTTATAATATGATTGGTTTTAATCAAGTGGTGGATGATGGGGGTAACTCTCATGATCAATTTATTTTGGACGAACGATAATTGAATCGTACGCGATTATCAACATATGGTAAAAATGGAACGAATCTTTCTTTTTCTTTTTCAAGCGGCTTGATATGAAGATTCTTTTTTTTTTTTTTAAGTTTTTTCACGCCTTTTGATCGCGATTCTCTGTTGGTATCGAAGCTTTTTTTCAATGACAATTTATTTATTTTTTCTTTTTTTTTTTTTTACAAATCACTCGCGCGTATTCGATGACACTTGAATGATAATTTCAAACTGGTTTTGTTGATTTTTTATCGCTGCTCTTGCAATCGCTCGAATTGCAATATATAAACTCGCACTGTATTCGAGCTACCTTGAAATATGTGTCTGTGTGTCGCAGGCTCTTATTCAGATTATGCACTACGTCGATTGATCGATTTTTTTCTAAGATTCGTTTTCAAATTAGGACAACTTTTCTTTGCTTTTATTGCAAATAACACAACGAAAAATAATATAGAATGAAAAATTTTATTGATCTTTTTATTGTGGAGCTAGCGAGACACGAACGAACGTTTATTATTTTATTCTTTTCTTTTCTGTGACTAATCCATGGCTTTTATCAAGTCATCCTCTTGAATTATTCGCAAGCAGCTTTTAGGAGAATCAAACGATTTCGTAAGTGTGTAAAAAATACACATTCAAGTAGATGACACGACACTTATTCTTACACGTTATTTTTTTTTTTTAATTACGGGTAATCGCGTTTCGTTTCGGGAAATATTATCTTCAACTTGATTTACATTATCGATCGAGTTGCAAACATACGCGCGAATTATGATTCTGAATTATGATTCGATATTCTTGTTTCTAATATTTTAATATTATTAAAAGATTGAAAAAGTATAAAAAAATACGTAAAAAGATTTTGAAATAAAAGCAAAAAATATAAATAAATTATTGTTTTTTTCTATATTTAGTAATATTCTATTAACATTTCAAAAAAAAATTGTTATCAAAAGAATTTCAACATTTAATGCAACGATTATAATTAATAATAATGCAAATCAAGTTTCCAAATTCGCATAAAGATGAGTATATCGGCTAGAATTTTACTTTTTAGAATTTTATTTAGCGTCATTAGGTTTTGATTTTTCTTTCCTTTTTCTTTTCTTTTCGATGTAGAAACTCGTAGAAATTTCGGAAACGTTTCTTAAGGTACATATCATTGATCGATTTCTCGATCAATATTTTTTAACGACCATAAAGCCTGCTACGAAACTAGAAACACATATTTTAAGTTAGTCGCGTCATTTTCAATTCTTTTCTCGTTAAGTTAAACATTTGCTCCGCTTGCGACATATAATCAATTCGATTTATTTAATTATTTAACGATCGATTGAAAAGCATGGATTTCTTTTTTATAATATTCTTGTCATAAAAATTG